GCAGGACGCATCGTGGATGACCGGACCTCGACTCGACAGACGTCGGATGCTCGCGACCCGCCCCCTTTTTTGGGAGGATGAACGTGGTGAACCCGGGCAGTTTCACCGCCTCGAAATCTGGAGAACACTGGCCCCCTTGGTTTCTTGAAGTTTCATTTGTGAGGCTTATTGGTCGAACATGAAGGGAGTTCTTGCTTTGGGGAAAAAACATACAGTAGATGGGTAATGATGGGTATGCGGTATGCGTCAAAATTTTGCAGTTGAGTAAATGTCCTGACTGAGACAACGAGGTATGCGGTACGTGTCTTCTAGGTCTGATGTTCAATATTCTTTCTGATTGCCCGATGGCTTTGGGGCAATTCCAGATCAACACCCCAAATATCAACAGAACCGGTGGGAGGTTCACATGAGTTCGAACCAGCAGATGAGGCTATCCCTGCTTTGCTGGGTCTGCTCTGGCTTGCCATCCCAAAAACGAACATGGACCCCGGGTCGTCTGACGGTTTTCCGAAGCCAGTGGCTGAAAAGGCTCCATCTTAGGCTTCGTCTTGGCTCGAATCCTTTCGGCTTGTGCCCCTTCGAAGACTCTCCTTTGTGGGTCGCGTCGTGGACCGAGGACCTCGGTTTACCAAAAGGGGGGGGCATTGGCAAGTCCGGGAGGGGAAGATGAGGACTGAACGCGAAACTGAGGGGGGGTGTGTTCATCAGGGGCGGCAGGGGGTTGTTCTATGACAGTTATGGAAGTGGAAAATGGATCTTTGGAAGATTGGGAGACAATTATTTTTCTACAAACAGGTGGTTTTCCACTTCCATGATTGTTTAAACAAGTGTATATTATCATTAGATTGTTTAAAGGATCATGAAAGAATCCGGGTGGCAAAACCAGGAGTGACAACCTGGCAGGATTTTTGTTTGTAAAGTTGTTGTTTATTTATTTTTTAGACATTGAGGCCCTTGAACTTCTTGGATCAATCCTCGAAGCACTGTTTCGGGGCGGATCTCTGCTTGTGTGTTGTGAGGAAGCGGGAGGGTGACCATTGTTTTTTTCCCTCCCCTGGATTCCACTGGATGAGAAGGTCCGTGACGTGTCCAACTCTTTTCCCAGGTGGAAGATGCTGTGGATGACTTCGAGGCGGATGGCAGTGCCCTGGAACTTCCGTCGGTTTGGGGTTCAAACGCCCCGCGCGACGGCTGGAAGCGGTCGGGGCACGACCGCTTGAAGCGGGCTGCTTTCGAGCGGTGGACTTGATGAAGACGAAGCGGATTGGGAGTTGACAGCCGCTTTCGGTGACAGCAGTAGCTGGTAGACGATGGCTCTTTGGGGACCTGCAGATGGGTGTGTATTTTAGATTCGGGAGACCCTCGCTAATGGGTTTTGGTCCATGGTCAATGGTCTATTTTCCTTCTTCCAGAACATCTTTGGGAGGTTTCCCTATTTCACTACACACCCAGATGAGAAAGAGATCACCACTTCCTCCCCCTTGACAGTGTATGGACGGGATATGTCATGATATGAGCTCCGCCATCTTCACGCAGGGAGAATCTAAGGAAGTTTTCCATATCTACATGTCTTCTGTCACATGGGTCTAGCTTCCATGAGCTCCGCCACATGAAAAAGGAGTCCCTTCACCTGTGCGACCGAGAGCTATTGGTTGATTAAGAGAGCGAAGATCCTCGGTATGTTACAAGGTGCATGGTACCTGGCATGGACCCTGTTTGGACCTAAAAAGCTCAGGAATGACTAGTCTGAATCCATCATGAATAGGCTGAATAGGTAATTGGAATGAGTCATGACATTTTTTCTCATTTTTTCTCCCGCGAGACAGCATGAGAACTATCAATACATTGGATCCTTCCACAGCCATTTTCCTCCATTTTTTCCTTTCCAAACGAGTTCTCCCAAATGAGACAAGAACAAATATACATACCGATGGCGACCAGCCAAACATACAACGACCCCCACCGATGGTCTCTCTCTCTCTCTCTCTCTTTTTCCACCCCCAAAGAGAAGGAGGACCGGTCCACCGATAAATTCGGCGCCCAAGGCGAGCGGGTGGACGAGAAGCTGGCAGGGCGTAGACAGCCGCGCGGTTCGAGAGCGGTTCGAGAGCAGGTGTCCCGGGCACCGGTGAGGTCCGGTGAAGGTCGGTGAGCTGCAGATGAGAAGATGTGTTTCATGTTGCTGTTCTGGCGGGTGATGAGAGAGCTGATGGGTTTTTGAATTCCCCCCCCACCCAGTGCCAACAATGTTCGCTACTAGGAACAAGTGCATCGCTTCTAGTAACAAGTGCCTTACTAGTAGTAACAATGTTTGCTATTAGAAACCATGTTCGCTACTAGGAACAATAAGCTACTAGGAACCCGACACATGGAGTCTGAGGGTTCTCTGCTAGACCGCAGCGCGGGGCCGCGACGAGATCGGTGAAGGATCTCCTCCCTTTTGCAGGTGAAGGGAGATCAGTGCAGAATGCCTTCAACTAGATTCCTAGATGCTTGAGTTTGGAGAGGTGAACAACATGGTCCCCAAATCGCAGCCCCAAACACCTCCTCCTTCGTCCCACGATCTGACTGCGTCCCGTCCACGTCCAGTCCCAGGCTCGGCCCCCGCGGCGGTCGTCGCCCCAAGTTCCCCGCGGCCGACGTCCAGAAGGCGCGGAGCGGACTGGGGCCCGTGGGTGGCGGGGCGGACCGGGTGTCAACCTTGTGTCACCAATGGTTCGACCTTGTGTCGGGCCCTTTCCAACCCTCTAGCCAGTCGGAGGCCTTTTTGGAGTCGGGTTGGACTGGCATGCAGAACCGGGGGTGCTTCTTCCGATGTTTTCAGGGTCGATACATGGGAAAACCATGGGGTCGTGATCAACCGCACGGAGCGTTCGCGCGTTTCGGAGCCGTTTTCCAACCAACACCGGGTCTCTGGGTCTTTGGGTGCCACGACTCAATGTGCAGCCCAACAAAACGAGACAAAACGCCTAATAGTCCGGACATAGACGTTCTACCTCACGGAGAACGCCAGCACCACGGATTTCGGGTGTCCATTCATAGCCCCTCATATAGAGGTCTTTTGGGGGTGTCCATTGACCACCCCGACAACGGTCCCACGGGGAGACGGATCGACCGGGCACCGCTCAGTGGACGGTTCTCCAGGTGCACCCCGTGCCGCCGCCCGAGGCGGGGCGGAAGAAGAACCCGGGGGTGGAAGACTCTGCCGGACACCCGATAAGGTTCTTCAAAGTACGAAGAAGAAGACATACAGAAAGGACAAGACCCACAAAAGACATGATTGGTGAAAAAGAAGAAAGATGGTGAATTTGTCTACCATAAAGATCATTCACCTTCTTCTTTTTGATCTTTACATAACACTAGAAGTCCTTTTCTTTTTCTTTTTTCACTTATTTACAGTGACACTCACCATTCTTCTATATACTCTTTTTTTATACGGGAGGTTGCGATCGCTTTGGGACTTCTCCAAGTCCAAAAAATATATAGATTTTGCACTGATGGAGGGGTAGAAGGACGAGGACTTCCTTGGTGGAGAAGACATGTCAGTTTGGCGGAGTGAGTGACATGTCAGCTTGCTTCTGAACAGATTCGGGCTATTTGGAAAACAGTCTGGCACATGTGGGCTCTTAGTCAAGATGAATTGGATTGGACACTGATCAGGGATGCATTAGGTATGTTTGAGAAGAGATCTCACCACCACCTGGTTTCTGGAAGGACCATTCAAGCGCCTACGGATTCTTTGGCGGGTATGGCTCAGCCTGAGATCCAAGCAGACGGTCCACTTCGGGTTGACCCACCTGAACGGGACATGCGCGGCAGGTGAAGCCTTACATCAAGCCCTACATCAAGCAGCAGGAGGTGACCCAGGTGAGATTTTCTTCTCGTGTGGTGAAATGGTGAGGATGTGTCTTGGATGGGTGGGTATTACCATAAGATCATGTCTAGAGTTCAGTGACTCTAGTGACTAGTGGAAAGAAGAAGATCTTGAGCTCAAGTCGCTGAGCGTGATCAACAGGCGAACGACCACAGTGAGTTCCTGACCATGTCCCAGTCGAACGACCTCCGGTCGTTTCGGAACCGACCGTGCCGAAGGAACGGCCGAAGGGGCAGGAACGCCGTTTTCGGAGCTCGGTTGGACCCGTGCCGTTTGGACCGGTGGTGAGGTCTCTGAGGTCTGAAGTCTTCGTCTCCGGCTTTCGCCGGGGGGGTTTGGAGAGAGAGGTGTGTCGAGCTGGTGAGCTGGTGTGTGTGTCTGTGCTAGACTGCGGGAGAGGGGGGAACCCCCAACTCGCCAGGTCGGTCGAATCTTCCAGAACCGAACCCAGGAGCGCCGGGGCCCGGGAGCTCTGGCGATATGGTTTAATGCACACCCAAATGATTCCAAAGACACAGGGACAGATGACATAGGTGGGTGACACAGCTTCTTAGAGATGGGGCAATCACAGCAAAACGGTGCTGGCCCTCGGTGGGTATGTGCATCAGCATCCTATTTTGGAAGTACGGAAGCACTGTATCTGAAAGAGAAGCCTTTCCACTACACCTCGTACCCTGACTGTGACAACGTTGCAGTTGAAATCCCAGAGTGCTGGACGGTTTTAGTTCAATATCAGGTGTCCCTGCAACTCCTTTCTCCTCACGAATGCTCGTCACCGAAATGCTCGTCCAAGAACAAAAGCTAAACCAAGATCACGACGTTCGTGCCAGGCCTCCTGGCATGTGCAAGCCTGGGGCATGGGGGGCATGGACTGGGGATACCAGCGGGGCACCTCAGCTCGAGCTGCTCAGGGCCTTCTGGGCTCTCCTTCGCAGGGCCCTTTGAGTCGAGACAGATTTCTTTCTACACGAAATGACTCACGTTCCATGGTCAAGTGCAGTGCGAACGTGAAGTGCAGTTCAACCCCTGTTGGAAGTGCAGGGACCCAGTGGTCTTCCAGGGTCCCTTTTGGTCCCCTTTTTTCCACTTGAAGTGTCAACTTGCGAAGAGTGTATGCCAGATCAGCATTTGCAACACTGCAGGGAGTCCGAGGTTGTTGTACTAATGTTCTTCTTGCAAACGAGAAGCCAGCCGCACACATTTCATGACATTCCAATCTTTGACTTCCGAGATATTTCTTGGCTCTCGGCGCAAAGTGCCTGTTTCCCTTGTGAAGAACATTCGAAGCTATGCTTAGAGCGATGCTGCGCTTGGCAGTCTTGCTCCTTTGCGGGCTTAAAGGGTTGGGCTCTGAGCTTTGCCTTGACGATGGTGTGCCAGAAAGCCAGCGGACGTACATCCAGGCAGGTGCTGCTTTGGGGTTCTTGTCATTCTGCGTTTTCTTATGGTCATCCTTTTGGCCCACATACTACTGTATCTCTTCTCTTGCCCTCTTCTGAGACCATGTTGCACTTCTCTTGCCACTGACCCACGTGTTCCCCCACCTCCGCTTCTGGCGGTTGCAACGCTGACCCAACGCTGTCAGCCACCAAAACACCAGGTCGTACTGCCAAAGGCTGCGCTGTTCACTTGAATGGTCTTGAACAATCACAGTTGCATTTGAGTTGCCACTCGAGTTTAAATCAAAGCATGCGCCAAAAGCCCGCGGGAGCCAAGCTGGTTTTCCTTTTTACTGTTCGTGGCATGTCAGCTGATGCGTTCAGGATGAAGCGGGCAATGATATTCCAATCGGGGTCTTTCAGAGCAATTGGGCCTCGTCTTGGCTTCTCAACAAGTTGACGGAAATGCTGGTTCAAGAAGTCATGGGCTACCATGCCACCCTCGATACGCGCATGGGTGCCAATGGGGCGTCTTGCTTCTACGCTTTGCCAGGATGTCTCGACTTTGACAACAAAATCGTGGCCGAAAAGCAGTGTGGAATTACTGAGACGACGCTCCACATCAGCGTGGACTCTTGGGTCGGCAGCTATGCTTCGGCCATGGACCAATTTAACAAGGCATACCCCAGAATTGCATCAGAAGACTTGGGCAGCATGGGCTACCCGGTTTTCTTTACGGTGATTGTCCTTTTTCACCTTTGGTGGATCTCCCTTTAGGCAATCCGGAAAGGGAATGCTAATTATGTGGTTTCTTAAGAACATGCAAGGCTATGCTGGTGAGGAGTCCATGTACGTGAGCCAGGCCATCCTGAACAGTGCTTATGCTGATTCTGGTCTTGCTCTCGACTTCTACAAGAGTTGCTTATTTGATCTTACTTGAAGTTTGGTTGTCTCAATGTAGTTTCAGTTGTTGTCTCAGTATTTCCAGAAGGACTGAACAAAAAAGTGGCGCTGATGCGCTTGTAGATGGTTTCTCATTCTAAAGTGTCGTTGTAATTCATATATATTATATACATGTACTGTATAAATATAAAAATATATATATATGTATGTATCATCGCCTCTACATATATTGCATACCTAGTACCTGGAGCACCTACACAAATCCTAAATCCGAATCCTGTGGGTTGGTGTGGGGCGTGGCAAAGGGCACTCCAGAGATTCTCAAAACACCAAAGCGGTGCCACAAAGTTGAGCTTGCTTTTTGGTCATCGTTTCAGGTGGTTCACACAACGACATTGTGTTCCCAGTCGCTTCGGTCAGGGTTTTTACATGTTGCGTTGTGGTCTTGAAGTGTTTGGGTGTCTCCAGCTGATTTCAAGCAAGGTTTCCACATAACGAAAGCAGTCCTTGATCTTTCTATTGATCGTTTTAGCCAAACACCCAAAAGCAGAACACCAACGAAAACGATTGGCACTCACAAAATGGTGATTGTTTTGGATTCAAGGTATACATTGTATACACCAGAAGCCACCGTCAATCCGTCTATCGGAGGGTGATTCCGCTCGTTCCCCTTTGCCGTCCCGGCCGTCGACGTTGACGCTCCGACGCTCGTGTCGACCGTGAGGCTACAACACGACACATCACAACCCGAGGACGTTGTTCGTTCGCACCGGAGAAAGAAGTCTATTAGATCTAGAAGTGTGTGTTTTTGTGAGGTTGCAATTGGATACAGCACCTGTCATTCGCCTTCCCATCTGTTTTAATTCAGGAAGCTGGTACCTCCTGTTCTTTGTATGTGCATTGTCCACAGGCCATACGCCACAACACAACCTTTTTTGTGTGCGCCATGCAGGAAGTACTTTGATTCCATTCACGATGTGGATTTGTTGGAGCTGGAAATGTGCAATGAGACGGACATGAGTAACCCAAGTCGAATGGGAGACTATGCCAAGTACTCTGGGGACTACGACGGGGTAGTGAGCCAGCCAGATGGTACCTATATCGCCAAGTGCACAAACAATCGTTGGTGGTATGCCCCCGCTTGCAGGCAAAACTCCTCTCAGTGCATCCCTCTCTTCACGTCAGGCAATGGTTGGAAATTGCAAGCGTTGATGCAGTGGTCCACCGCCTACGGCATGCCAACAGCCGTCGGACTCTCCAAAGGCTACGGAACGTGGATCCAACATGTGCAGAATCATCGGGCCTTGCACTACTGGTGGGTTCCAGATTCCACTTTCATCGACATGTTGCCAGAGCCTCTGACTTTTGCGCGTCACAGTGCAACTGAGTGGTGGGACGGAGATAAGAAGACGGGTGCCAAAGGAAGCTACGTGTCCAAATTGGTGAGTCACAACTTGCAAGCGAAGGCAGGCAGGGTCCGTGAGTGGCTTGGCAGAATTTGGGTGGCCTCTGGATGTCCGGGTCTTCCTTGATGCTTTTTGGAAACCTTTTTGGAGATCTCTCTCTACTAGTAGCAAGGCACCTTACTTGCAACAAGGACACTAGTAGTAGCTCCTGGCATTACTACTAGTAGCAAGAAGCTAGTAGTGGTAAGTAGGAGCCACCACCCCAAAGGGTTCGGAGGAAACGAGAAAACCTGGGCCTTCACATACCGTCACCTTGGTGGTCCGTTTGGGCACCACATACAAGAAGGGTTCAAGCGAAGACCTTAGTTTTCCAATGTTTTCCAAATCAGGTATATACATTGGAGAGTGTGTTTCCTCTCATGAAGTCCTCTTGAGAATGACACATACGCTACTATCGATCATATGGAAGGAGAGCTAGTCCATCCAACCAGCTGGAGATTCCGAAGCATCTTCTGTCCCTCTTCCGGACCGCACACCTCGGGACGAGGGAGGTCTGGGTGGTGCCGGTTCGGGGTCCAGTCATTCTGAACGAGCCAGGTTTGTGTCCAACATGAACTTTGAGCTTCCAGAGGTGCAAAATCTCCTTCTGGAGCTCCAGCAAGCAGGGTCCACCTACAACGTCTCGTGCAAATGGATGAAGGAGAATCGAGACAGGCACGGTTTCGTCCGTGAGATGTTCTACCGTCACGCGCAAGCGCGTCACGGAAAGCGAGCCGAAGCGGGCCTAGTGCAAGCGCACACACACACACACACACCCCATCGCAGTGTGTCTAGAGCCGGTGAGCCTGGGTGGCTCAAGTCTCAGATCGAAGTCTCAGGTCGGAGTGGGTTCATCCAGGAGAGGTTGGTTGGCAAGAATGTGACCATTCTCAACCCCTTGGGTTAAATGGTGAGAGTCAGGGGTTGGTTGTGATCTAGCATGTAGATATGAATAGATATGATATAATCCAACCCCAAAGACTTGAGCCAGATGGAAACCAGTCGTCCCGGTGGTCCCGTGGTCACGAGGTGGATGAAATGGAAACCGGTGGAGACTGCTTGCTATGAAGGCTTCGGCTTGGTGGATGCTTCCGGGGCTTTTGTCTCCAGCAGAGCAGATGCTGTCGGATGTGGGCTTTGCCAAGCAGGATCTGCATCTGAGGAGCTCATTGATGATCAGGGCAGGACTTTCCAATGCAAGCTTTGTGCTCCAGGATACAGCCAAGCCAACACCTACTCCACCCAATGTGAGCCGTGTCCAAAGGGCACATCAGCAAGCTCGTCTGGGAGCACACAATGTACACCCTGTGATGAAGGTTTTTACCAACCAGACACAGCGCAAACCTCATGTATCTCATGTGGTGGTTCCCGAACAACGCTCTTGCTGGGTGCAGGATCTTTGACAGACTGTGTTTGTGAGGCAGGGACAATCGAATCGCAATCCGTTTGTGTGGCTTGCCATGAGGAAAGCATGCATTGTCCAAAAGGTAGCACAGTCGACAAGCTTGTGGCAGCTGGGGGAATTGCGGACTTGAAGAATCCCTTTGTGAAGAAGGGCTACTTCGGCAAGCCGGATTTGCTTAAACAAGCACTTTGAACTTTGAGCACAAACAAAAAATACAAATTAAGTCGCACTCTTTAAATGGGCCGTTATGGGAGATTCTTTACAATGAAAGATACCATAACATTATATTGTTCTATTTTTGTGACTTGATCTGTGTGAGTTGGTGTTCTTGTAGATTCCCATCCAAGGCAATCCGCTCGCCCCTCTTGACACCTACAAGTGTGCGGGGGAACTCGTTTGCCCAGGTGGTGCTCCAGGCGAATGCTTTGGAGACCGAGAAGGTCTCACATGTGGAGATTGCAAAGAGGGGCACTATTGGGCTTCAGACCAATGCCAGCCCTGCGGGGCAGTGTCAGTTGCATGGGCTTTCTGTGTGATCATGATTGTGATTGGAGTGTGTGGCTCATATTACATGCTGACTAGCAGCTATACGGCGAAGGCCAGTGTGATGATGTCCACCACGGCTGCTTTGGGAATGTTGATCGCCTTGTTTCAAAACCTTGGCGTTTTGAACACAGTTGCTGTTGAATGGCCAGCCGGCTTACGAGACCTCCTGAACTTTGCTTCAGTCTTCACCTTCAACCTTGATGCTCTTGGCTTGAGTTGTGCTGCAGGCGGCAACGTGGCGCGATATGTCAGCACGGCGTCCTTCTTTTGGATCGTTGCTGTGGCCTTGCCCACCGTGGGCTTGCTGACGAACTTCATTCCGATTATGAAGCGCCGGTCTCTCGCATGGGAGAAGAACAAGACCATCAGTACCACTGGCCAATTCTTGCAGGTGCATCAAGCTTGTTGTGCTATCGCCGCTGTTAGCGACCCCAGAGGAAATCGCGATTTTATGGTGCTGTCAGGTTGATGCTTCCTCGTTGATGTGGGGTGGGGTGGGGTGGGGCATGTTAACGTTCGCTTGCACTTGCGTCACGAAGTTGATGCTTCGTGGTAGATGTGGGGTGGGGTGGGGTGGGGCACTCAGTTGCTTGACCAAGTCTGGCGACAAGTGAAGAAATATGTGCCATATAGTCTGGCGACCCGCGAAGGTTTAGGACAGCGTGACGCAAAACGCGTCGATCAATATGTCCGCAGTTTTCAGTTTCGGTGGAACAACCGAGGAAATTTGCTTGAGGCGTTGGCCCGAACGTGGCCGCAAATGTAAAGAAAATACACCTGCAAAACGCGTGTGCGCCAAAAAAGTGCACTTTCTGCCCTTCCCCATTCTAAATTCCACCTTACAAGTGCTGACCCTTGTGAAAAATGGGATGAAAGCACATATGATCCAAACTCTCCCAAATGAAAAACTTGGAAAAATGGGAGGTTTTGAGCACTGTCCACTTTGGCAATGTGCGAATCGCACAGGGTCACTATTAGCGGCGGTACCTTGTTTTCTGAGGCTTTATAGTGGGCATTTTACGAACTACTGCCGTACTTCTTGACTTGTGTATGATTTGTTTGGTATACGGTAGACATGGGTAGATGCTTTTCAGAGAGATTTCCCTTTAGTGCAAACAGGCCATTGTCGGTTTTGGTGTCGACAGCAGTCAGATTCACACTTGACTCACTAACTTAGCTATTTGTTGGAAGACTATACTTGCCACTTCCATGATTTTGCAGGTGGGTTTCACCACGATGTGCAATGTGGGGCTCATGCTCTTCATGTGCTACCGACACCCAACCAGTGCAGAGAGCATCTTGAAATACCCCAACGTTTTTTGCGGTACTGAGGAGCACGCTCTTTGGCTTTGGAACATTTTGCAAGCTTTGGAGTCGTTGGTGTTTGTAGCAAAACAGGACCGTTTCACCACGTTTTTTGTGTTCTCAGCCAGCAAGAAACACCGTGTCACAAGCGGATCATTTTGAGTCTGTAGGGCGGAGGGCAGGCATTTGGTCTTATTGTCCTGGAGTAGATCAAGTTTGGAGCAACCTGACCAGCTGGCCTGGGTTCCTGGTGTTTTTAATGCCCTTCATATGATAACATGATGATAATGTCAAGATTGTTTCGTTTGTACACACGAGGAATTACCGCAATCAAACATACTATGGGTTGTCAACTAAATTGACCGCTTGTTGGACGTGTTTTATTGGTTTCCTTAGATATTGATTGACCCTTGTCCATGAACCTGAAAAACGGTTCAGATCATCATGCGCATCTTTGGTGGCTTGGTGCTGTTCTTGGCGTTCAGCTTCTTTGCGGCGGCCTGCTACGCGGCCTACCAAGCGCCACGCTGGTCCGGCAAGCCCAGGCGAGCCGTGTGGGCGTGTTTTCGGAATCCGCCGAGGGGTGCCTTGTCTTTGGGATTCCGAAACTTGTGGTTTTCCTCGAACATGATGGCCCTTCAGTGGATTCTTCCGTGCTTAACAAGGCGACAAACACAATGAACCAACGTGGTGGTTGACCGTCTTAGCGTGGTTGACGTGTGGCGAGGCTGGCAGCGATTCGCTTCTTGATCTTCCGCTTCAGGCCCAACGTGTGGTATTTTGGCTTGGTCCTCTTGGCCCGAGGACCTTTGTTGTCGATGCCAGGAGTCATTGCAACGAACATGCCCAGCTTGCAACTCACCTTGATGCACATGATTCTCCTTGGATCTTTGTGCCTTCAGCTGTGGTTCCTTCCTTGGAAGTCTCCAGTCCTCAACTTGGTGGATGGTTTGTCAGTGTCGCTGCTCGTCATGCTGTTGGCAGGGTCACTTGGATATGCCGACAACAGTGGGGAGGATGCTGCACGTGTTCTGGCACTCTTCGGCACGGTGATCTCATCCTTGATGGTCGTCATCCTGGCGGGAATGGTCATGCTCGGCCTCTGTGCGCTTTGCTATCGCTCGGCCTTGGGGAGCTCCAAGGAACTACGCATCATGAACCTTGGGAAGGTGCCAGAGGAGAACTAGGGGCTCCCGGCCGTACTACTAGGAACAAGAAGCTACTGGGGGCTCCAATGATCAGCGCCCTACATGTTCCCCTACGCAGGTCTAGCGATGTCCGGGTCGGTCACCTTTCTCCTTTCATGCATGTGAAACGACTTCCACGCATTGCGCGACATCACGCCGGTCTTGAGTTCAGAGTTCAGAACCACCTCTCCGTCTCCCTCCCTCTCTCAGTTCGGCCGATGTTCATGGTGGTTTCGTTTTCGGGGGATGGCCGCCGGGATGGCCTGCAGGAGAAAGATGTCTTTCAAAGCCTGTTGGACGTGGCCACATTCCTGAAGGAGGAGACTGGACTCATTCAGTGCATCATATTTTTGATTTTTGTTTTTCTGCAACACGTTTCAGAGGGAAGATTGAAGAGTTCATCCCCATCTCCAAGCCTCTAAATGCCATGCTGGCGTCCAATCGAGCTCAGGATGGACATGGCAAAGAGCAGAATTTCATCTCTGACCTTGGCAAGCTCTCGGTCTATGACCTGGGCACCGTGATGCGCGCCATCAACATCTTGGCGGATGACTTGAACATGGCCGTGGGCGATGGGACGCGCCGCAGCTCCAGCCGCCGAATTGCCACAGGACAACGGACCACCAGGAGCGCTCGCTGGCGTTCCTAACGAATAGGGGCCTTAGGGGCCGGGTGGACGCCTGGGGCCGGCCATCTTTAAAACAACGATGCGGATCAGCGCCGCTTTTTGTAGAATTGGTATGGCCTAGTGTTCTTGATGCCAACCCTGGATGAACCAATCCCCAAAATTTGTCTTTGGCATCTGCCAGCATTTTTCTCTTCACGAAGAGATTTAGTCTTAATGACCTCCCTTTGTGATTGACCCCCCGAATTGACATAGCAACAAAGCAACCTTCCGGGGGGGCTATTAACATGATTGAAAAGATGAAAAACACACAGGGTCCTCTGCAGCGGACACGAGCGATCAAGATCGTCCTGTTTTGTCACGGTCAGGGTGTTAGTTGGTCTTATGAAACAGGAGACTCTGCAGAATGTTCAGAGACCTTCCAACAAGCAGTGCCTTCGAGTCGAGGCCCTGTGACACGGCCTCTCGCCTCTCCCTCTGGCAAACTGAAAAAAAGCGCACATTCTTCGAGCAACTTCAAGATCTTCAAGTGGCAAACAGCAACTCCAACCATCTTCATCTTCAGAACTTTGTTTGAACCATTTGGGCAACCGTTTCATTCTCAGAAGCGTTCAGCGCTTCGGACTGCCGGTGTGCAGATGTTCTCACTCCATTCCTCAGGAGCCAAACCAGCTTCGGCGCGGCGGAGCTGCAGAAGCCGGGTGCCGACAGGGAGAGCGCCTTGGTACCCACAGGCGCAGCCGCGGCGGAGCAAGAGAACAAGCAGTCCGCCGTGGTGTGAGACCTGGCCAAAATGCCCCAGGTCTTTTGGGTCCGGAAGGGTTAATGTTTGCTTCCAAGAGGGTGGCTCTCAGCTCCCAACTCGTGTGCTGGGATGAGTGTGGAATCAGAGGAATCAGACGCATCCGGTGAATTTCTGCATACAAGGATGTACACTGTACGAGCTTCCAGATTTTGAGCCAGACGCAGATGAGTTTTTGTTCAATTAATGCTTTGTGGAAAACCCAATGCACATGTTTACGAGTTGGGGCCACCTCACGAAGACTTTAGTCACGCGAGTTCACGCGCCTAATTCAAACGGCGAGTCCGCGTGCCATGCTCTGGTAGTTTGGCCTCGGAGCATTCAAATTCTTTTGCCAAACAACGTATCTGTGATTGAAATCCACAGAGGGTGGAGCCGTCGCACAGATCGAACGCCATCTGCTTGCGGGTGCCTGCCCATGCCCACGTGGGAACTCTTTTGAGGGTTTCTGGTGGATCTTGGTGCTTGTCAGTTTGCAGCTCCAGTTTCATGCAGACCAGCGCTGAGACTACCAGACTGGCGCCTGGCGCAGCAAAAAGAAGCAGGCTGAGATCTGTTCCGAGCTACGAATCAACCTGAAGAACGCCTGTTACTTGTCACCCACGCCCCAGTGAAGACATCATCGCCCCAGTTTCAAAGGATGGATGAGGAGGGATGTTGTTTTTGGGTTCCGCGGCTTGCTCAGTGCAATTGGTTTGGACCGTTTCATTTGTGTTTCGACAGGTTGTTTGCATTTCTGCTACAAGTACTTGAGGAAGTCGATAAATGACCCACTGATTTTGCGGCTAGTCACCAGACTGATCTTGCAAAGAGTGGGTGCCACATCAGCATTTGAACACTGCAGGAAGTCCAAGGTTGTTGTTTTGATGTTCTTCTTGCAAATGAGACGACAGTGTTCATCAGAGTGAAGCTTTATCGTTCAATGGAGAGGGACTGCCTTATCTTTCCCCCGGAACCCGCCATTGCTGTTCGGAGTCGTTGGAGCGTTCTCGAAGCACCGGGACCGTGACTGAGGTACTATGACCAGTCCGAGTACACCGAGTGGCCCAGCAGGGCTGATATGGACCGTCACGGCACGTGTCGCCGCCCGGAGGGTGCATCGAAACGAAGGGAGCGATCGGACGCTATAACTAGGAACAGTGAAAGCAAACACCTCCACCCTAGCAATCCAATCGTACCTTCTCACAAGGTACGACTGGACCCTCCAAACCTACATAGCGGTGTCTCCTTCCTCACCTTCTGAGAAGGTATGACTGGATCCCTAGGGCCAACAAAGAAAGCCAAGCACAGTTGGACACCCAACCGGGCCAACCGCCGAAGAAGAACCCCACCGTGGTGTGTGTTTTCACACAGAGCATCTGATACAAACACCCCCCCACAAAGGAAAGGATACCGGGTCCGATCCAATCCTTGATTCTCAGGTCGATTTCTTCATAATTGATGTCCATCGTTAACAATATCTCTTTCATATCTCGATGTGATGTATTGATATTTGTTTATAAATCCTATCCAATAGAACTGAACCCCAGCGCAACACTGCGTTTTTACAGCGAACCCGGCGCAACCATCCCACCGGTCGTGCGACCCCGGTACCGGTCGCGGTCCAGGACGACTCTTGGCGTCGGACCTCCAAGGAGGAGGCCGTCCGTGGTTAGCGAAGCGGAGACCCGACCGACCTCGACGTGGCGGCGGAAGACGGGTTTGGAGGGGACCTCCGACCGGACTCGGGAGGAGGGTACCGAACTGTCGAAGGAACGGGCGCGGGTCTGCACCCAGCCACCTAGAGGTGGGCAACCCCGGTTTGTGCGTCCGACAGCCTTGGTTTACAAAGCAATTTCTGGTACTAAATCCATCCAAGGTTCAACGCGTTGTCCGACAGCCAAGGAAGCAAAATGGCTTTCGAACGACGTTCCGGGTGGATGTTCGTTGCACGGCCGTGCACGCCCCGCGTACCTGCCTTACGGTGTAGATCGGACTCGTAGTATCAGATCCTGCAGTTCTGAAGCAGCACATCTCGTCCGTAAAAGATGAAAAGCACACTTCCCAATGGTTCCGTTACAAAAAAGGATGTCCATTTCTGGGTGGTTGTAAAGCTACATTTCCCCCATTTCGGCTTCCAAGACCCTTCAAAGAAAGGTTGAGCTGGTTGCGTAGTGTAAAATCCCCAGTAAAACAATGGTGGTTCGGCAAACCAAATTAAACCAGCAGTCACAAGACGGGGCGCGATCCATGGAGGTGGCTGCCCAGGACATCCACTGCATGGGACCCAAAAGCACCCTGGCCTCCATGTGACTGCTGGAAACAATGGCTTTCTGCATGAAAGCTCCCAACCTCGACCTCTTATGCCCGCCCGCCGTCCACACCGGGCAAACGCTGGACTTTTTTGAGGATGTGGACGTTTCCGGTGGCTTCCACTTAGTGAGTTTGAGAGGATGTGGATGAACCGTTCTTCTTTTTGTCAGAAAAGCCAGCAAATCATTGAATTCCATCCGCAAAAAACACAGAGCACCCAGAATGCGCGCCAAATTGCCCAACGTCCTGAACCCTTTTGCCCCTTCGTTGGACCGTCCTGGCTCCGCGAGCGCCGTCCGCCGAAAAGCGCCGACGCCGATGCCGACTCCGTCAGGGCTGGGCGAAAGCATGCCACGGGCGTAGCTGGGGAGGCCCACCCGATGGACGATGGAACCAAACAAGAAGACACCAATCGAATAAATTAAAGGTTGGCAGAGAATCCACTTTCTTTCATTTGGTCTACTTCTCATGACTAATACCAGGACCTTCCCAGTGACCCTTTGAGATCTCAGAATGAGGTCACTGGGAAGGTCCTAATACCTTTTATTTAACTATAGGTTTGCTGGTGTCGGTGAAGATCGGAGAGCTCGGAGACCTCGGTCAGAACCGCGGTCCTGGGTGAAGAACAAGCCGGGATCCGGTCACAGCTACAGCTACCCACCGTGTCCGGGACACCCGTTGGTACTGTACGTCATGGGGTGGTCTTCTGGGCAGAGAACACTTGAGACTTGATTGAATGACCTACTGGAGAATTCTTCTGCCATAGCCCCTCAAGAGCCGTGGAGTTCTCTTTTCCTTCTTCACCGGCTTCCAAGGGAAGCCTCTCAAGATCGGATCGGGATGGTCGAGCCACAGTGGAAGACAGCCGCCGTCGTGGAGGAAAACAGTCTTCCCTTTCAGGGCCACGTTCCAGGTTTGTTGAAGGGTAACCCCCCCATATATTGACATGGCCTTTTAAGAAGGATTCAATTAGGACCATACCATTGTGGGTGTTTTTCAGATTGCTCCTCTTCATGGGTTCTGTGCAGGTGGTGTTTGGAAGTGGTGAGAAATCCGACAAAGGGGGATGCGGAGGATTGGCAGAGATGTTCTTTTTTGGGTCTATGGTTTTTGCTCTCTTTATCAACCCAACCCCCCTTGTTAGTCACGAATTCCACACCTTGACACGTCCGATTCCGATGAAAGCGATTCTTAAGGGAGCTGAGCAGAGTCTTTGATCGGAGCTTTGTCCCACCTCTGCAAGGTCGGCTCCTTAAGAGAGGTGTTCCTAGTGAAACCCGGAGAATTCCTGGTCCACCATTGAATGGTCAAGAGACCGGCGAACCGAACCAGGGAGTTTGACTGAGGATTTAAGGGTCGATCGCGGCCCGCCTGTGGGATGAAGCTAGAGAGAGCCGTCAAGTGGAGCACACGCCGAGCAGCAGAAGCAGTATCAGAAACCATTTAAATAACAGTGTCTCTTGTGCCTCTACCAAACTTGGAAGGTGTAGCTAGTGAGGCACCACTGTTCATCACTGATGTTAGCAAGTGCCATCGATCGTGAACAGTAGGAGGTCGTCAGTGTCTTGTTCGCTGCTGATCAGTAGCGAGCAATGCGCTCGATCTAGAAGTAGACATTCTCCGAAATCACCATGTCCCGTGCCCAACAACTCCTCAAAAGCCGAGAGCTTCCCTTTTGACTCTTTTTGCTTCTGGAAACCAAACCACCCTGCAGCAAGTCCCCTGTTTTGTTGGGAAGTGCAACACCTTGGCAGAAAACGACACGTGAACCCTGGGGTGCCGAAGCTGCGGCTGGGTCAAGTACCCCCCGAGGGTCTCGCACGCTCGCACGGGGTGCCCGAAAACCGGGTCGCGCGCTCCAGGCGATGGCTATAGCTACAGGAGACCTGGAGAGCGCAGCGCCAGAGAGTGGTATTAAACGTCAAGGAGAATGAGCTACACATCACATCACTGGCCCAGCAAGGTCCAATGCCATGACCTACGCCATCACGCTACAAAAAAAGCCTTGGGTCACAGCCAGGTGGCGGTTTTGGGGTACAGCTGTGCTCTCAATGGGTTGGGCACCCTTCTCTTCTCTTTTTTGGACCAGCCAGATGCTTTCTTCTTTTTTATCAAACACTTCTGGATGAGCTTCTGGACATCCTCCCTTCCTCCTTTGTTGGAACTGGGCGTTTCATTCTTCGAAGTGTTCCCCAAACCGCGCGTTTTGCACGGTCCAACCGCCGCGGTGCCGAGAAGACGGTCACCCCGTCTTCTCGCGGTCGAACGCGGTCCAACCGACGCCTCTTGTTTTCGTCCAAGGTCGAAACGTTTGGATCGGTCAAAGAACGGAGCACGGGTTGAACGACCGGAGCACGGGCTGTCCTTTTCTCTTTCGTGAATCACTCTCCTTGACTCTGCCTATTCTGCGCGAGAGTAGCAGCTGAAATATTCTGTGGAACAGCGAAATACGCGATTGATCTTCGTTCTGTGCGTCCGTTTCGACCCACTGTTGGGCAAGATGAGCCCGGAAGAACATCAAACACCATAGCCACCAGTACCAGTTTTGGCATTGCAAGGTTCAATGGTCTTCCATCATCTTCCATCCACAATCCACGGTCTTTCATCTACATGGCACACGAGCCAAGACCAATTCCTAGCACAAGAATAGAAAGGCTCACCCTGCTAGACGCGCCTTGTACATGTTTGTTAATAGAAGCCGATCATGGCCGATCTGTGCCAAGCCTACTGACGGTTTTTTTCGGGGCAGAAGTCCATGAATTATAGCGGCAGTGTAGCCTGGATGACAGATGCGGTAGAAGCAAAAAACGAACGCAGACTACACTTCGTTTTTTTGGAGTGTTGGGATTCCTTGCTGACGAGTGGTTTTGTGAATGGTTCTTGTTCTGACCAGAGAAACCAGACGTCACACAGTCCACTTGGCTTGGGACCACAGGGACCAGAGACTGGGTCTGAAGAGACCGTCGGCACCCGCACCCCAGTTCCGCGGCAACGCGGACCAGTCAGGACGACGTGACGACGTGACCGTCGATGCAGTTTCCCGCTTTTTTTACATGATCATTCATTTTGAATCACATTGGTCATGTGACCTTTTTCCAATCCATCTTTGGATTCAACAGTTGGACCGGTCGGTTTTTTTTTTTCTGGCTTTTGGGCGTTAGCCGCTAGACAGACAGATGACGTAGTCGAGGGACTCATCTCTGCCGCATGTCACATCACGGCCATGTCACATCTCCAAAAAGGACCTC